CCCCCCCCCCCACTCCCAAAAACAATCGGGAACCCTGGGTGTGGGTGTGGGTGTGGGTGTGGGTGTGGGTGTGGGTGTGAGTGTGGGTGTGGGTGTGGGTGTGTGGGTGTGGGTGTGGGTGTGGGTGTGGGTGTGGGTGTGGGTGTGGACGTTAGTGTAGGTGTCTGACAAGAAGCAAATTCACGCTGGCACCCACACCCACCCACTCACACCCATGTCCACACCCACACTCACACCCACACATCCACACCCTCACGACGAAGTAATAAACTGATGCAAGCACTGTTGAGAAAGAACTGTAGATATGCTCTAGTTTGATGCAATCGTCGTCAACGAGCGGTCTTCAATTTCATCTCCTCTTTCGGGGAATGTGTAAAGAGCCGTACTTTTTCGAGCAGCCACATCATCAGGTTGTTATTTTCTTTCTTTGTTTACGCAAATGAAATTAAACGAAATACAGTGTTTTTTCCCTTTCAATCACGTATGGCAAAAAGAATGCAGCGCATATGTCAACAACATCGCTCATTCTCTGCTTACTTTTACTTTCATGTTAATTTTTTGATCTTTGTGCTCGTTTCTTTTTCTCCATCTGATTGTTGTTGTTTGTCTATAGAGAGAAAAAATATTTCATTTTTTGAAACAATTCATTTTTGTTTTTCGCTTTCAGCATACATTAAAGGACGAATATCTTCAAGCTTTCTTTCAAATTAATCATTCGCTTCAACGTACTATTAATATAGTAAGTTGTGTATTCGATCTCCTATTAATGTAACAGTAATATTTTGGTGAGCAGCAGTTCGACATACGCTGACAGTCAACTCTAGCAAGAAAACGACTTTCAAATGGATTATTTCCTTAGAGCGAAAGGATAGGGCCCAGAAATGGAAGTTCACCTGTGTCTGTCCGGCTGTGTGTAATGCAGTTACCAGATGATAAGTATGGAAAAAATAGCCATAAGTATGAAGAAAACAGCCGTAAACATGGCAACAATGGGATTTCATGGAAGATACTCCCCTGGCAAATGCTCTCCAGACACTTGTTTTCCAGTGACACTTAGTCCTAGGACCCTAACTCACCGACCAGTTGCATCGCTAGTCGTACCTAGCGAAACTCTGATTGATTGCAACTGCAAAATGGTGTTGGTATGAGTAAATCGAGATCTCAATCCATAGACACCACACATCGTCACTCACACGGATGCTCAGCTCCACCTCACCCACTCCTACTCGCACACCCACACCCTCACCCTCGTCAACACCCTCACCCACACCCTTTTTCGACCCGCTAATAGACTATTTTCTACGGTGCTCTAACTCCCAACATCATCAACACTGTGCGAACAATTTTCCATGGAATCCTGCACGAAATCCATAGAATTGCCCTTTTTTCCAGAAAATAGTAAACTTGCTATGAATTCACTGCTTAATCAAAAGTGAAGCATTAGATAAACTGTTATTTAAAGCTCCTATGCTCGGTGGCGAGTTATTTTCGGCACATTTTTCTGCGAATCATTTCCGCTCGTTACCTAATACCATTTTTGCTACATAGAACTGTGCAAGTAGACAAGAAATATGACTGGGTGAAGCAATTGTTCGAGTTGATTATATTAGTCATACCCTCCAGAGACTTCAAAAATAATAAAATCATGAGTTTTATATCAAAAATACGAAAAACACCGCATTGCTGGTGATGAAACGAACATTAATTTTGACGTACTTCAAATTCATCGACTGTAAGCAACATTTTAACGAAAGAAATGCAACGATTGTGATTTTGAATCAACGTAACAGATTTTAATTGGTGAAAATGGCCGCTTTAATCAATGAACTTGGAAATACACCAAAATGAGTTTCCGTTTCATCATTCAAAATGGCATTTATTTATTTTTCAAGCCACTGGATTGAAGCTTAGATACTTTTTCTATCATAAAACATTCATGATAGTTTCGAGTTCTTAAACTGAGCATATAGTTTACTCAAAATTTGAAAAAAGCTATATAAGTGTCGGGCCGGCCGACTCGGCCTGACAAAACGCATGGCCCGACCAGCCCAATGGTCTTGGCAACTCGGCCTGCTCGGCCCGACAAAAAAGTTTCATTGGGCCGGGACGGGTCGGTCGACCGGGCTGGACGGCTCGTTTCAAGCCCTGGTACACAACAAGATTGACGCTAATATCAACATCCACACATACACCTACCCACACATCCCTTTGAAACGTTGGATATTAGCTTTGTTGAAGACTGCAAAGCAGTATATAACACTGAAAGAGCCGAATATACAGTCGAGAGTCAAGCGAGTCACAGAGACGAGCGTTACTTGTCCGGTAAAGTTAAATTTAGAAGTGTTGAATTTTTCATGTTTGTATGAAATATATGTTTTCTAAATTTACATTACTGTATTTTTTCAAAGTAGAATAAAGCTAAAGTGACACCCTTAATCAAATTATAACAGTTTGCTGTCAGTTTGCAGTGTGTTACGGAGCCTAGTCGAATATTGTCTTGTCCAATAAGTGTTTAAATCAGCGGTATTCTTCTGAATAATGACTAAAGTCTGATAGGTTGAGGCTTATGTGCTTCTATAATGCTTGAAAAAAGTGCTAAATCTTTAGCTTTGTTTTCAAAAACGGAAATAAAGAGAACATTTTTAAAGTAGTGATTCAGTAAAATACTGGCCTCTATTGACCGATAGATTTTCTCAGAGGATCACTTTGACCCAGATTTCAGGGACGATCAATGGAAAATATGGGATTGTTTCGAACTGCTCAGGACGTTAGAGTTAAGCAGCGATTTAAACAGAACATGAATTCAAGAGAAAATCTGATGCGATGTTAACTTTAACGACGAAGTCACACTGAAACTGTAATCGTAGTACTTAGAGATAGTAAGGGCTCTAGATAAAATGAAAAATTTCTGAAGAATAATCAAAATCGTGGAGCTTGGTCGTACGGAGATAAGAACACGGGTTTATTTCAATTGTTATAGTACAAAAACCCTAACTTTGCCAGGCTACTCTATTGTTTTTTCTTCAGAATGATAAATCAATTCAAGACTTTTAAGCTTCGAAGAAATGCACTATATTTAAAGGTGCTAAGAATAGCTATAATGCTCCTTATTCGAATGTATATAAGAGAAACTTGAATATTCCAATATTAATGACCTTTCACGAAATTTAGTGTAGAGCAAAGTTCAGATTTCAGTTGTTGAACATGTGTTACGTTTCCTTCGGTTGTGTGGAAGACTATACCCATTATACTTTGGTCAGTTTAATTTTTCTACTCTATATCCACTGATTTGGAACCAAGATTTTTGTTTAAGTTTTATAGTAATTTACTATTCTATATGAGAAATGTTTGTGGAAACGAATACGTTACATCTTAGAATGCGTTTTAATAAGAATACCGAGAGCAGTATTTCAAAGGAAGAGAATATTTTCAACAAGATTTGACGACATAACTTTTTCAATACGCTGACATGTGTTGTTATACGAAATAATTACAGCTATAAAGAGTTATAAGCTTAGAATAACTATGACCACGTACAAGAAGCTATATTTTTCTTGTCAGATGGAAAATTTTACAGGAAAATATGAAGAGAATGCAGGAAGGTGTGAGCAATAACAAGAAATTTTATCGAACATATAACTGTGATGAAATTTAGATGAACATTACTTCATTTAGGTGCAACAACATCTTTGTATGTGTTACAAAATGGCCAACAAATACATAGGATGAGCCTCAATTGTATACTGATTGTCGAATGAGTCTCAGTCGGAAGAGTATCGATCCAAAAATATAAGTAGGTCTCTGCTGCTTAAGAGAATACTTATTCACATGGATCATATTTAGCAAAGGAAAATATGTCACTTATTATTTCAGAGAATTCAAACAACAATAAATCTAAAATGCTTAAAATAATTACTAAAAAAAGGCTTTATGAAACAAATTTCTATAGACCTCGAGTGAACTGTGAGAAAAGAATTCGTTAGAATAAAGACCACGAAAATTAGTATACTATTCTTATGAATTCCATTCCCACTACACCACCTAAAATATCGACCCTAATGGCTTTAATTTTACTGATCGTATTAAATTCACTATACAGAGTTCATAGTCAACATCAGAAAATGAAATTCATTTTCATAGATTTTTGCGGACTACTAAAAATGTCCTGAACAAGAAAATAAAGCATTACTGTAAACACTACTCTGATCAAATGCGAAATCGGGCCATTGAGAGTAGCAGTTCGTGTAGGGATGAAAACGATGTACGGTGAGTTGTTGCCAAAGATTCACTTACAGCGTCTCAATAGAGAGGTCCGGTCTTTTTGAAAAAATGGTCCTCTTTTGCAAGATTATAAAGAACTCTTTTGTATTAATGTGTGTGTTCAGTGATAGTCTTCGAAACAGAATCCAGTAAACGAAGGGATACGATGGTTAAATCAAACCCACTCAATTACCAAGCGGGCCATGGTGACGAGAACTATTTACTCTTTTATAGATGCATAGCAGCACATTAGTTCTGATCTTCCTCTTCTTAAGTACCATATGTTCAACGAAATCACATCCTTTCAGTAGAGGGTTAGCGACGTTTGCGTCGCGTTACTTGTTATTTTTATTGTTTTTGTGCTGTGTTTGCCACAAGTCAATTTTCTATATCTGTCTCTTCTATCCCATTTTATTATCTTCTCTGTTCTCCCTCATTTATTTTGACTGCATATATGCAACATTTTTCTTTCAGACAGTTAAAGCAGATAGCCAAACTTTAGTGTGCGTGAATTTTTCTATTATCCATTATATTTTACTTTTGGTTTGCATTTTTGTAGTACTGAAATAACGTGAGTCCGATGAAAATATCTTCATGTCTATATAGTTCTCAGCACTGCAGAATTCCCTTTCGAAAAAAGGAATTGTATAATTTGATACGCCTTGGAAATCTGTATCATTCTATTTATTCTAGTCTTGCCTTGTTTTTATGCACTGAATATACCGAAGGGTAATCTCAGTATTATTTCTTGAATATCAATTCTCGTGTATTTGTGCAGCAATAAACGACAGAGTTGATAGAAAAGATACTTTTGTCTGCAACTTGTCAACGAGCGTGTCAAAGTAATATTCAAATTATTCTCCAGCACACAAATACTAGGTAGCTAAGAAACACTCAGAGTGATAGAAAAATTCAAGCTTTATCAGAATATATCAATATTTCTTTCTCAAAATGAAATTCTATAGTAATTGCCTTCAATTTATTTTAGTAAGGCATAAATCTAAAGAGACGCAGAAGATACTAGATATCTATAAATAGACGATTACATTAAGGCCTCTCTCCCCTCAAAAAAAGTCAGTTTTTGTCAGAAAATAGAAAATTGAGATAAGTGCATGGGAAGATAGCTCGTCTTTCGCTCTTTCAGAAATACTATACGTCTTTTTCCAAAAACCCTATTTTGATCGAGAATTTTGGCTATTTCTGTTATCAGGTGCAGTAGTGTAGAACTCGTTAAGTCGTAACGACTTTTCAACTATTCAACTTTTCAATTATTCGACTTTTCAACTATTCACCACCTCCCATACCCACACTTGTACCTCCCCGTCACCCCCCACACCCACACGCATCCACCCACACCCACGCTCACCCACACCCACACTCACCCACACCCACACTCACTCACACCCACACTCACCCCTTCCTCCCATCCACACCCACACTCGCACCCCCTCAACTCAACACTCGCACCCCCCCTCACCTTCACACTCACACCCCCTCATCCACACTCGCACCCTCTCACCCCTTGAATAGTTGAATAGTCATAAATTCGACTTTTCAACTTTTGAATAGTTGAATAGTTGAAAAGTCGTAAAGTCGAATGAATAGTCGTAACGACTATTCAAGTTTTACATGTATGATCAGGCGTATGTAAAATACGATTTTTTCTGAAAAAAAATGAATTTAAATTTTTTCCTAGAGAATAAACATTTAGATGAATATTTAATATCTTTGATATGGGTGTGGGTGTGAGTGCGTTCAGAGAAGATCCACACCTACACCCCAAACCCTGTTGGTCAATTTTTTGAAATAAATGATAAAAGTTACTAAAAAATTACAAAATAGTGGAAAAAATTTCGCAAAAATCTTTTTCGTTTTTTCTCAATTTACAGTTTCTGGTACGCGCATCCAAAAATTCTTTGTTTTAGTTCTTTCGACATATTAATTTTTTTTTGTTTGAAAGAGCGTCTCAAGATGCAGGGAATGACATTGTCCTCTTTTTAAAATTAAGCCCTGTTTAGGTCCATATACGGTCAGTTATACAATTTGGTCACCCTTTTTTAGCAATTTTTTTGAGTGCTTTAACTTGTGATCTCTTTTTGGCACTTAAAAAGCGACTGTTTAAAAAGGAGGACGATGTCATTCTCTGCATCTTGACACGCTCTTTCAAACAAAAAGAAAATTATTAATACATTGGACGAACCGTCACAGAGAAATTTGGGTTGCCAAATTAGCTATTTTTCGACCTTGTTCGGTGAATATCTGCCTTCAATGAAATAGTTTTGGGCTGAAAATTTTATCAGAGACTCCCCTTAATGCTCTCAACATATCTTCCAAATCGTGACCTGACAGTTGAGCTCCCGACAGATGAGCCCCGACAAATGAGCCACCGACAGTTGAGCCACCGACAGTTGAGCCTCCCGACAGTTGAGCTCCCGACAAATGAGCTCCCGACACTTGAGCCTCATATTAAAAAAAACTAATTAATAGTTTGGAACAGTTGCACCATCATTTTTATTTACATTTAATAGAGCTTGATGAATAATACGTTGTGGTGGATCATGTCATGCTGTTACACCAGAACTGATATTTGACTTGAATTCCACTGATATTGTTTCTTCAGGATTTTGTACATGAACATAATCCGTAACTTTAATATATCCTGGTCCATCAAAACGTACACGAGCAGCACAGTCATTTCGACAACAATGGCAAATAATTTGAGATTTATCTGCACGACGATAGCGATAACCACTAAGTAAAAGTTGATTCTTGTTTTTTGAAGATTTCACAATTGATATTGTTAATGATAATAGAAAAAAAACCAACAGTGATGAAACCTTTATGAACCAAAGAAATATAATTCGAAAAACTTGTTCATTTCTGTAAAGATGATTGACTTAGCCTCGAAAATATATCAGCGAGTCATCAGTACCATCGAAAGATGTCTCATGTTCCAGTGCACTATTTTCGAGTAAATTAAGTAATCCAATATTAATTTTGTGTGTTGTATACTTAATTGATGAAATTTCAATTTTGTGAGGTTCAAGTGTCGGGAGCTCATTTGTCGGGAGCTCAACTGTCGGGAGACTCAACTGTCGGGAGACTCAACTGTCGGGGGCTCATTTGTCGGGGCTCAACTGTCGGAGCTCATCTGTCGAAAGCTCAACTGTCGGCGCACCCTTCCAAATTTCAGCTCGTTCCAACATTCCTGGACCGAGATCGATTTTCGAGGGAGAGGGACCTTAAATGAGCGTTAATCATTTACAATCGCGGTTCCCGTTTGTGCGTTTAAACGCGTTTTTCAAAATTTTTGTCTGATCGGGTAGAAAAGATCCTAATGAGTCCAAAGAAATGCTTTACGCAGGAATTACTAGGATTTGAGATAAGATTCTGAATAAAACTCCGCAACATTTCTGCCATTTAAGATCTTGACAGGTCTTTCCACAGTTTCTGTGTGAGTGAACAATATTGAGACTAGGACAAGTCTCAAACACAACTAATGCGGTTGACTTCAGTAATCTAGGATTTAAGCTTTCATTTTCTCTTTGTATAAGAAACTTTCCAATTCAATTATTTCTTGAATTTTGTATTGAAAATATAAGTTTCTATTGCTTTGTTCAAACACATTTGCTTTCATGAATTTTTTCTGTTGGCATATCTAGTCTGCTTTTCTGGCTTTACGTATTGTTTAATACTTGTGGGCGAGGTGCTGAGAGTGCTTGGGAAGCATTAGTCTGATGTTGATGTAGAAGTGGGCTTGAATTGGCATGTGAATTGCTTAGTGGAAGTGTTTTGATTACCTGCACGTACTTCCGCTCTGAAGCTTCCACATAGTTGCAAATTAATAAATTTAGCCCCTACACCCGAATTTAGTTTGAGTCAAACATTATGCTTTATATAGGCACATGTTGCTCGCATAAGGATTCAAGAAGTGTCTTATTCTCAGTGTGACTAGAATCGATTTGAATATTAGTCTAGATCTTCATATTAGTTTCGCTTGACGGCATTCAAATATTTCTGAAAGATTTGTTTACAATATTCCAAAGCATTTGGCTGGATTTATAAAAAACCTCTTTTAGGACTAATCTTAGCAATCGGATTGTGTCGTTATTTCAAGCTTTGAAATTCGACAATGTCTACTGAGTCACACTTTCGCTTCATTCCTTGCTGTTCCTAAGATATCAGATAAAGACCAACAAAAAACACGGAAGATGTTAGTTAAAGATTAGAGAATAGTGGAATGTGGGTAGCCGTGGATGTGGATGTGGATGGATGCAGATGTGGGAGTGGGTGGGTGAGGGTGAGGGTTTGAATGTCGTTATGAATTTGGGCTGCGAATGTCGATGGGGGTGTTAGTGTGTGTACGGGTGGACTATCCGTTGTTTCCTTATTAAACGCCGCAGCCACGGCCACTCACCCACACAGTCGCTCACAGCCATACGCCTACACCCACACCCACATCCATATCCATACCTGCCCTACTTTTTGCTTGATTGTATTTCTTTTGGAAATTGGAATTGTAATTGAAATAATTAACTACCTGACGGTACTCATAGCTGAGTCAAAATGCGCTTCTATAGCTTTCATGCATCGACTCTGTCACTTGCGAGCACACTCTATGTGTACGACTTCTTTTTCGTTTTCTTTTTCTCCGAATGAAAATCAATCAGTATGTTTGGTTTCTATCTTGATTGAATTTGCAAGAAAAGTATTTCTACAAATGCAAAAGAAATCGAGTTCTTATTCTTGTTATTACGTGAACAAATAGCACGCCTTCGAATCAAATTTCCCCGATTTCGTTATCAAGAAGTAAGAGTTTTCTGATAGCTGTCTTGTCAAATATAAGCGTATAAAATTTGCCATAGCTTAAAATAAGTTTCGATACAGAGTTCATTAACACATTCACCCCGATTCAAATTCCATAGAAACTAACATCTTTAAATATGTTTTATTAGAAAACAAAATATACCACAAGATGCACCATGAAAAGCTCTACAATCTACATCACGAAACTTATTTCAATTGTGTGCTTTTTGTTTTCAAAATAAACTAAAATTGTGTGTGACCAATGTTTGAGGTTGCGAAAATTGATTGCACAGAGTTTTGCTTTTTTCGAAAACAAAAAATGAACTTTACGATGTAGATTGTAGAGCGTTTCACACTGCATCTTGTGCTATATTTTGTTTTTTTCTTACGAAATAATATTAGGTGATAAAAAGATGAAACAAGAAAAACGAAATTTAACATTCGTGCAAAAAAAATGATCGTTTCGCAACTTCGAAAACTAGTTATGCAGAGTTTTACTTTCTTTGAAAACAAAAATTAAACAATTAAAATAAGCTTTACTATGGAGATTGTAGAGCTTTTCACGCTGAATCTTATGGTATATGTTACTTTTTTAATAAAACGTATTTAAAGATTAAAATATGAAATGCAAAGTGGGTCTCACCGATGGGACCCATCGGGTCGAATGTGTTAATCAAGAAAAGAAAGTTTGTTTTCGGATGGATCATCAGACAAGACAAACACACTACACTCCCATGAAGGAAATCATAAAACAAGTGAGTCAAATTTGAGCAGTATTGATGCATTCCTTAGTCAACATTCCGATCAGGGACGACCCGATCGAGTGGGTGTTAAAGTATAACACCGCTCCACCCTTCTTCCCCAATCCTCAAAATGTTTCGCTTCTTCCTAGTGAAATTCAAAAATTATCTTTTGTTCTGTAACCAAAAATAATGGTATACCACCAAAAAATTCTTAAAACTTAATCTCTACCCCCCAACAATAATCCATTAGTTCCTCAATTTCCGTTGATTCGGGTCAGCCCTAGCTTCCATGACGAATGTATCAAGTTTTCTGGATAAGACTCTCTAAAGAATCCAAACAGAAAGTTGTTGGAGATTTTGTAAAGAGTTGATCGGGAATTCGTATGGTTTGCTTTAAGAGTAAATGTACAGATCGCTCATGAGTTTCGTAGATAGAGAAGTCGTACAAAAATACCAAGAGAGTGTGGGTGTACTGGACGTTCTTCGCTTCATCGACACCTACATCCACACCATCAGTGAATTTGTTAGCTATCGATTGGCAAACATCATTTGAGTCATTTATTCCGTCTGATTCTCTCCTGAATGCTACCTATTACTTGAAAAGCTAATATTTAAATTAGCGTCTAGCCATGAAACGCCCGAAGTATTATTGTAAAAGTTTACTCTCTAGACTACAGTCGAATAGCTTATAACAGACGGTACTTGAAGATTGAGCTGGTTTTATAACCCTTTTTTCTCCATGTTATGTGTCGCCCAATACTTTTATAACACACTTATTTGATACAGAATGTAATTCACTACAAAATCTAGTATTACGGTTCATGATAACATCCTGTAGCTTTACATAGTTTTGGAAATGCGACACGCGTCCATTTCCTAAACTGCTCCATTTGAGAAACAAAGAGTCAACTATTTATAACAACCAACTTTTTCCTCAGACTTAAAAACGTATGAAAAAACTCTTCGTCAAATTCGTTTTCATTCTGTATGAATTTCGCGTTTTTTTGCATGAAAATTTCTCAAATATTTCATAGCGATCGAAATCTGAAGTTACCTAATTTGGATCCATCCATATACCTATTTAGTTTTTCCCACATTCGTAGTGAGGCCCTGAATGCGCTTGCCGAGAGTGAGGAACGAATACATACGCACACGCGCATACCCAAACCCACACCCAACCCTAACATTGGAGGTGCAGCTTCGACAGTAGAGTTTATCTGTGAGTTTCATTTGAAATAGGTACCCGTCTCGGGTTCATGTCGACTAGTAACTCTGTACTGATCAACTTTCAGGAACAAGCTCATAGAGAAGTGGTCAGAGCTACATAACGGCATGTGTGTCTTATATCCAAGAACAGTTAGATAATGACATTTATCACTTCTTGAGACGGCAAACTATTTAGAGACTGTATACACTACGAAAGAGCAGGTGTCAACGAATCTGAGCCATCTACATACAGATTTATTCCCATCAACATAGCATTGATGACGACCCAAGCTCGCATCTCTACTCTGGTTAGCAAGAATAAGATCAAATTGCGCTTATTAGGACGAAGACCGAACCGAGAGAGATCGATCTGAAAAACTAGAAACGCAACTATGTATACTGCAATCAATTATCATCCAATGCACACGATCGTTTATCGATTAATTACGATGATAAACTGAGAGTGTTTCTGAATCCGTTTCTTGTTGCTATAAACGAACACTTAAGATGAATTCCGACCGCCATAAATGATCAGCTTGAAAAATGCCTTTAGCATATATTGTAGATACTCAATAACTATAAACTCTAGCTGAATCGTATTATAGTCGATCATATATGATGGTTGTAAACAGTTCAGCAAACGATTGATATTTTCGATCGCATCTGTTTCTAAATAGTCATTCACGATAGCAACCTACTCTCGTTGGATAGAGGTAAAGAAAGGAAGTGGATCTCCTAACAAAATCGACCCTATTTGAAGATCATAAGAAAACTTCCGATAATTATATATATATATAGATAACTGATTTTAGCATCTACATAGACAATAGCTATGCCAATAATAGTGATTTTCCTTACTGATTTAATCATAAATATGATAAAGGGTATATACGACATAGCAAATATAGGATACAAAGTAATTGATAGCCACCTTGTAGGATATCGGTGTGAGTAAAGAGGAAAACTAGACCCACACTCTCATCCACACCCACACCCAGCCATCAATTACTTTGTATCCCATGCTTTCTCTGTCCTATATACTCTTCACCATATTTACGATTAAATCAGTAAGAAAATCACTATTATAAGTAAAACTGTTGTCTAGGTACATACGGAAATCCGTTACCTTTCTTTTGACATATAATTAACGGGGGCTTTCTTATAATTTTCACATAGGAACGATTTTGCTAGGAAACTCATCCCAATATTTTTGACGCGTATGTCAGATAGAGCAAGAAAGATTGGATATGATCGATGCATACAATCAGGATAGAGTACCAATTACAGTAGCGAAAAATTCTCACTTTTGACATAACGCTCCAAGAATCGATACATCCCTGGTGCATGTGAAAAATTGTCGTTCAAGGTTTGAAATATAATTTGTGCTATGTCGCAAAGCAATCAGCGGCAATGGCAGAAAATTTACCGATGTCATATAAATAAAGTTTATTATATTTATGAATGTTTTAGCGGAATAACACGAATATGTCACGATCGGTCAAGGAGATCATTAAAGATTTATGCAGCTTTAATCCCCAGACAGCTGACCCATGTATGCGTTTGACACATGACTGTTACATGATATTAGTTGGTAATGTGCAAGATATAAAGCCTTTGGACAAGCTGAAGCATATTATTGATTCCTATGCAGAAACGGCCGAGGAAGAGAGTGGTATTCCGGCAATTTTGGCCGCTATGAAATGTGAAGATATTGAATTTATACTGGAACATGTAAAATTAGAGCACAATGGACATTTCGCCTATGAAGACAACCTTATTGACACTGTTTTTGATGACGCAAAAGAAAAGACATCACTAGAAAAGCTTAGAAAAGTATGCCGTCAGTGCGAATACGGATCACATGAAACGCAAGTACATCATAAACGTGCTGCTGATTCAGC